CATGGCTTGTGTGACTTCCTACAAAACAACTGGTCAGAGAAATCACAGGAAATGGTAATGGACATCAGTGGTGTGGTGAGAAAGTCCCAGCAGATATTTCAGAAAGGGCGGCCTGAACATTTATCCATTACAAAACAAACGGATCTCGGGGCCTCTGATCAGGCAACTTGGGTGGAATCTAGTTCTCTTAGGAGGTAATTAGGTTTTCACCTTTTTTCTTTGTAAGGGTCGGGGAACCTTGTGAGATTATTGTGGAAGCCGGAGACCTGTGCTGTCCAATCGGTAGCTCATCCAAATTGAGATGCGCCATGAGTGTAAACTATGCAACGGCTTTAGAGGACTAAGTATGGACAAGAAGGTAAGGTGTTTCATGAATTCTTTTTACACAAATTGCATGTCGAGACAATAATATTGGATTCAAAAAATATATTATTAAATTATTATTATGTGTTTACTTTTTCTAACGTGGCCAGTAGAAAACTTAAAATCACTCGTGTGACTGGCATTACATTTCTATTGGACGGTGCTGGTCTTGACACGTACGACAGAAAAATGCAAATCAGCAAATACGCAATTTGCATATACTTGCAGAGGGTTCTCCAACCTTTTGACACCCTCCATGAACCATGGAATCCCCAGGTCTTTGGTGGGAGGTGGTGAGGAACACTGTGGGGGAAGGGCTGTTTCCATTTCTTTTGCAACCTTCTATGCTGGTTAAAAAAATTGTTTAAAAAGCTACAGGAGGAGTCTCCAGAGACAGACCTTTGGTAACTGGAGAACCTCGCAGACTCAGGGGGTTTGCGGCAGAGCCTCCATGGGGTCAGGCCCACAGGCCTCCAGTGAGCCTCCTGGCCCTCAGCATCTACACAGCGCCCTCTAGGGGTTGCTGCAGCCACATGCAATCGATTCCTCTGCACCTGGTCATGGCAGGAAGAGAGAACCATGGTCAGAGGACCATGCACTCCACAGGCATTTTCTCTCTGGGTAAGCAATACAATGCATTCTTCTGTTCAATTACCCTTCTAAGTTCACTTGACTAAATTATCACTGAAGTTTGTTTGGGGCCAAGCTGACAGAAGGAGGAGTAGGTATTGCAGGCCCTTTCTGACTGAGAAAGGAAACACCTGGAGATGAATTGCACTCTGAGAACCAGGCTTTGAGGGGTCCAGAGAAGGCAAACTCTGTGACTAATGGCAGATTGAGAACAAGGTGAAACCAAACAACTCCTCCTTTGGCTGGAAACTTTCAATCACTGAGATGCTCATTCTTAGCAACCCAGGAGCGCCAAATCCCCAAAGCTGTTCCTCTATGTTACATGCCCAGCACCTCTGCCTCTCCAAGGTGGAAAGTGGGCTACCTGCCATCGCTACCTGCAACAAATAGATCCCTGGCCAACTGCTCACTGGTGGTCCTAAGGCCACAGGAGCCTTGGGCACCACCTTGTTCAATCCCTCCACTTTACAGAGGAAGCGGTTGAGGCCCAGCAAGTACGCGGCTCACCTGGGCCTCCCGCCTCAGCGCCGTCATTTCTCCCTGGATTTCAGTACAGGAGGGGCTGGACTCCCAGACAGATGGGTTATTTCTGAAGGTGGCAATCATTTCCCTTAGCCTTGCTACCTAAGTAGAAAGCATCAAGTAGGAAAGGTCAAAGGTGGTGGCAAAGAGCACCCAGCAGTGTTCCTTGACCTACACTCTACGCTTCAGCAGGCAGCAAGGCCGCACGGCAGAGCCAAACTCTGTTTTTGGAAGAGTGCTAGTGTGAGGAGAGGGAAAAGCCTCCTTGATGCACAGAGAACTCAGGGAGGGCAGCTTCCTGTCCCGGTCAGCCTCCTACAGAGGACAAGGTGACTGTGGCTGTCCAGGGAGACTGCTCACCACCTTAGGCATCTGCGTGGGGAGAGTCTACATGGATTACAAAATTGCCCACAGAAAAAAATAGCACATTTCTGTCATAGTTACAAAAAAAGATACAAACATAACCGTTTCAAAATGCAGATGCCTCTTTTTCTTTCTCTGTCTCTCTCAGTCAGGAGAAACTTGGACTTAGCCAACTCCTGTGCTGGACTTTTTAGACCAGATGGTTCATCGACTCCTACCTCCCTCCCCACGTGGTGTCTGGACACCCTCAGGGAGACCTGGGAAACAATCTGTAAAGGATTCACCTACAACCCTCGAGCTGGGGAGGTGTAACAGATGTGTTCAATTGAAGGTGAGACCCCCATGGTGGTGGACACCAGGTTCAAAGCTGACGTTCCTAAAGCCTCCATCTCCTGCAGAAGCCGGTGAGGTAACAAAGCCTGTCCTAGGCTCGGGGGAGCCAGCACAACAGGCAGTTCGCTTTCAGGAAGAATGGGCGGTAGCTGGTTTTTAAACTAGCCCCGTAGTTCCAGCTAAGAGTCCTACAGCCAATGAGAGTGGCCTTAAAGCCTGGAGGGGACTTCTGAGCTCAGAATTCCAGCCACACACTGTAAGATCCAGACACATTAAACTGCCTCCCTACAGCTTCCTTCTCATGTCACATGGCCCTTGGCGGAGCCTGGCAGGCGGGAGCCGGTGTGATGTTGCTGAGCAGAATGAGCAGCGGCCTCAGCACATTCAGAGCTCCGTGTTGGGGTCTCTGGCAGCTGGGAGTGTTAAGATCCATTGAAAAGAATTTAGATTCCTAATGAGAGCTGGCCTTCGCCTGTTTCAGGTGCTGAGGCCCTTCCCAAAGCCGTGCACACTCATGCTGAGAGGTCAAAGTCCTTAGTCTCAGAGACTGACATGGACTGGTCACAGCAGGGATGGGTGCTTCGAAACACAGCTCCAAGCAAAAGCTGGAGTGGATCGAAGGAAAAACAAAGGAGTGGACCTACAGGGAACTATACACAGTCTTTAAAAAGAAACTGCCAAGGAAATCAAACAACAATTCCAAAACAAGAAAACAACACTGGGGGAAACTGAAATGAACACCGAGAAGCCCCGAAAGTGTCCTTTCAGTCTGTTAGGGGCCTCGGTGTCTGCAAGGGCCCTGGAGGGAACACCAGCTTTCCGCTTCCAAGCTGCCAAGGCCGCGGGCTGTTGTAGAGACGGAGAAACTGCATCCTGATCAGCTGGACTTTGGATATTGCTTTTCATGACCATTCTTGAGCAGAGCGCCCTGCCGATGCCGAGGTGTTCTGGAGGTGTGTGTGCCTGGTCCAAGTCTCGGGCACGCCTCCCCCGCTTCCCCATGGGTCCTACCATCCCTTTCTTCTATGTTCGCCATTTCATGATTTCACCTCTTCGCAGTCCTGGTCGGTGGAAAGTTCTACATCAGAGAGTCCAACCTCCATCGCCATAATCAGCGAGATATCAGAGTCACTGCTGACAGCTGGCTCCTGCTCACCTGAGAGGAGAGAGCAAAGTGCATGGTGAACACTGAGCTACGTCTTCAGATGATGCTTTTTATTTAGTTCAATTGTCTTTAATAGCATTTCTTTGAAGGTCAAGAGAAGATATTAGAAAAGTTGATTATTTTGTGTAAAACAACATTTAGTTAGAGTCATACTGTCACCCAAAATAAATTCTAAATGGGGCAAAAAGTTAAATGTAAACAAAAGAAACTAATAAAGCTAGAAGAAAATATATCAAAGTAGGAGAATATCTATCTAAACAGGGCAAGAAGTTCTATAAGAAAAAACAATTGAGCAACTCACAGAAGAAAAGATTGATAAGTGTGCATAAAAATTAAAAAAACACACAAAAAGATCAAAAGGCCTATATCACACTGGAAATATTTGTAAAAATTTTATAAATGACTATTTTAAACATATTGAGAGCTTTTAAATCAATAAGAAAACTAACAGAACAACAGAAAAATGGGCAGATTACTATGGTACAATTCACAGAGGAGTATAATAAAAATGACCAATAAATAAAAGGTAAAAATGAGCTACTATTTTTGTTTCTGAAATCTTGACTTTTTAAAAAAGATAGCCTTATAGTTAGTTAATGGTACATTGAGGTAGGCACTTTGATAGATTACATGTAGAACTGTGAAATTTTCACCCAGTAACTTCATTTCCAGAATGTATTATAGAGAAATGATCAGATGCAAAAACATTCATTTAATCATTATTTATAGCAGCAAAACATTCTATGTAACCAAGTCCAACAACAGAGAATATCCGAATGAACTATGTTACTTCTAAAGGACATCTTGTTACAACCATTTAAGTGACATTTCCAGAGAATTTGATGTTACATTAGAATATGCTCACAGTATACTGAGAAGTAAAGGCAATGTATTCAAAGCTTTTTATGCAGTGAGCTTGACATAGAAAGTTAATTAGAAGCGAGGAAACCAAAAAATGCTACTAAGTGTTGTCTCAAGTTTTAAGACATATTCATTGTCGTTAATTTTTTTTTCAGTTTTACTCCCAAACATTCTGCAAAGCACAAATATCATTCACGCACTCAAGGCATAACGAGTCCCCACTCTGTATTAAGGATTGTGCTAGGTGCTAAGGATGTAGTTGAGAGTGAGATGATTCCTGTCCAGTAGGCAGGCCGACCAGTAGCTGCTAGTCAATTACAAGACAATGGGATAAGCACTGTGCTGGTGTTATAGCAGCAGGAAAGAGGGCTACATAATCATTTGCTGAATCAAAGCAGGCTTCCTGTAGGGTGCCATGACTAAACTGAATTCTACAGGGTAACTCGTATTTTAGCCAGAAGCATGAGAAGGAAGAATCTTTTAAGCACAGCAATAGCACATCGAGATGTCTGGAGGTGATAGGGAGCCCTTAGCTGGACATCAGATCATAGTTAAGTATGACTGGAATGCAGAGTCAAGCTAGGGAGTATGAACAGGGGAGTCAGGGGAGCTCAGCTGCAGAAAAGGCAGCTTTACAGCCAAAAGTTCTTGTACATTCAATTATCCTGCAAGATAAACAGGCAATGAAAAGACCAAACAAAATGTCTAAGTACTGAAGATGGCTGATGGTTATAGAACTTTTGCACTGATATAATTTATTTCATGTTGAAGTACAGGTAAGAGCTCATCACAGTGGTATTGTGACTTTCATATAAATCTAGGAAAAAAAGGCAGCCGACTTAGAGTTCTGTAGAGATAGCTCACTGCACCTGCTCAGATAGCTTCTCACCTTCACTTCTGGCTCCTTAGCCACCAGCCTCAGCAGATTTCTCACATTCATTCTCACCGTAGTGTTTTCTAAGCTGGAATGTGTGAATTAAAAGCAAAAGGGGCCATGGGCACTGCGAAAACTATGGGCCGCTGAAGTCATGATGCTATTTTGGAAAGGGAACGTCCTGCACAGCTCAAGGCAAAGGTAAATTTAAATCAATAAAAATAGAGATTTGCAAAAAAAAAGGGTTCACTTTCCATGATGTGACATTTGCATCAACCACATTATCTAATCATTTTTCATTTCAAAACATTAAAAAATTATCTGAAGACATTTGAAATCATTCCTTACTGTGCCCTATGTTTTCAACTGAACTTGGTCTGCTCCATACTTTTTAAAAGCAGGTTTTTATCCTTTAATCAAGGCAGATATTTTTCTTTGAGACCACGATCATACAAAGGAAAACGCTGTCACTAAGACATTTAGAAGGTTCTCTGCAGGTGAGTGTGAAGTAGCTATTAACAATGTAATTTTTACCTTCTTTCCTGCAAAGGCCAATATAAAACTGATGCGGAAATAACAGTGGCCTTTATTGAATTCTCACAACAACCTTTCCATGTAGGTATTATTAGTACTGCTTTACAGGTAAAAAAAAAAATCCTCTCAGTCCATTTTACACAATAGTACATTATCTACTTGACACACTTCCTTCTCTTGGGTTTCATGCATTGTAGAGACACAGAGAGCATTTAAACAGGGAGTGATGTGATCCACTTAATATTTTAAAAGATCACTCTGGCAGTTAAGTGAAGAATAGACCAGTAGGACAAAGGACAGAGATAATCCAGAGGAAACTATTGTGGAAAACAGATGAAACGCAATGCTGGTTTGTTGTGGCAATAGGACTGGAGATAAGGGGACAAATTAAAAAAGGATTTGAGAAGAAGGATATACAGAAAAGTGATGGACTGGACAAGCAAAAGAAGAGAAACAGTGGCTCCCACATTTCTTGAGCAACACAGGTACTTTTACTGAACTGGAGAAACTGGAAGCCAAACAGGTGGGGATAGATAAAGAGTTGAGTTTTGCATGTGCGATGCTTCAGGTGCCCATAAGAAAGCCAATGTTGTTGTGGAATTAATGGGCAGCTAGATGTAGAGTCTGGAGTGTAGAGGAGAGGCTGTGACTGTCAGTAAATTGGGAGGCTTCAGTGTAGAGAAGATACTTTAAACCATGGGAGCAGATGAGGTTTTCTAGAAAAAGACTGTAGAATGAAAAGATAACTCAGGGGTAGAGCTCCCAGGAACACCAAAACCTATGGGAAAAAACTCAAACTGGCGCCTCTGAGATAATTTGTTTGGCCCATACAGTGTTCCTTTGAAAGTGTGAATTAGTTACCAGTATTTAAGTCAGGTTATTTCACATACAAATTTATATTTGAATTTTATCTTGAAAAAAAAAATAGAATGTGGCAACACGTGCTCAGTTCCCAGATGGAAATCACTGGGGTGACCTGGGTAAGGGCCGTCCCCCTTAGCTCAAGGCAAAGAGGCTCGAGGGCACCATGGTTGGCCAACAGTCTGCACACTGGATCATGTTACTTGCTTGGCCTGTGTAGACATTTGAGTTTCAAATATCAGGAAGAAGGCAGAGCACAGCAGAGGAGGGTAAGCCCCCAAAGAGCCTGAAAATAGAGAACATTGTTTCACTGATTTGTTTCTGTTTTTTCTTTTAAATATATATATTGATTTCAGGGAGGAAGGGCGAGAGAGAAAGAGATAGAAATATCAATGATGAGAGAGAATCATTGATTGACTACCTCCTACTCTGGGGATCGAGCCCACAACTGGGCATGTGCCCTGACCAGGAATCTAACAGTGAACTCCTGGTTCATAGGTCGATGCTCAACCACTGAGCCTGCTGGTTGGGCCTAAATTTTAAATATACTTTTGCTTCTTTACCTCCTATAGGTAATGACTCACCGTTACAGTCCATACCCAAGGAAATGAGATACTGTGGGTATCTCATTGGTTAGGGTGGATTTAAAGACTGATCCCAAGTCATCTAACTCTCAGCTTTGAACCTCTTTATCACAGCATTAAAGAGAATCTAATTAGCTGGTAAGCAGAAAATACTGCTCTCAATGGAGCCTTGTAACCTACTTTGTTGACCCATAACAATGCTTTCATATATTTCCACATTTAATTCTAAGTAAATTTAATCAATAGCTTAACTGTGGCTAACAAAAAAATTCTGAGTGGTGGGATTTTTTTTATTAACTTCATAAATTATTATTATTTAATTTTTATTGGACTTACTGGAGTGACATTGGTTAATAAAGTGATATAGGCTTTTGGTGTACAGTTCTAGAATACATCATCTGTATATTGTATTGTATTCACCACCCCAAGTCTCCTTCCATCACCATTTATTCCCCCATATCCTCTTTACCTCTCTCATCCCCATTTAATTTCACAAATTGTTAATGCATTTGGTTTATCTCCGTCCTCTTTAATAGATAAAATGTTACCGAAGGAGTCAGAGGTTTCCCTTTGTGAAATGGGCATTGCAATCAACTGTGGGTTGTATGTCACTGTCTATAGCAGAGGGTGTGGTTGAAGTTTCTTCCAACCTGAGACTGTAGGACCCTGAGGTCTGTCCTGTCTGGCCTGGGGCACACCTGGCCTGTCTCTATCACTTCTCTGGCTCAGGCCCATGCTATGGTCCATATTCTCATTTTAGAATCCTGTCATTGGTAAATGTTTGTAGCAGTGAAAATGAATTGAAGTTCCTCTCTGGCTTTGAGAGGCTCAAGTTTTGTATTTATTAACTAATAACAATATTAGTGCTTATTGAGTACTTAGTACATGATATCATTTCCATAGTTAGGTGATAAAACTAAAGCTTGAAAAAGTTAAAGATGCAGGGCAGGCGAAATCCTAGCCTTGTCTGATTCCAGAGTCCATGAACTTGGCCATATCTACAGTAAAGAGCTGAGATTCTTAACCAAAAGATTACTGGGCTTTCAGGGGAGTCCAGGTACCTAGAATGACAATCATACTTTTATGGGTATGTGCATATATGCATTTTTCTGGTGAGAGGGTTTCCTTTACCAGATTCTCACAGAAACCAGACAAGGCTAAGAAGCATTCACTAAGAGCTTTTGCATCCTAGGTGAACTGAAGAACACATTTTCGTCTGCAACAGAGTGGCTTGGCCTTTTTATTAAAGCATATTTTGGTTCCATGTCACTGACGGT